GGGGTTGTTGTGACCGAAGTGCATGACCCGGTGGTTCATAGGACTGTTATTAATGCAGACTTAAAGCATGGTTATGTTTGAAAGTACAGTTTCAACCATCGGCAATTCTTGTGAAGTTTCCTACTGCTTCTAGTATGTTAGTGGTGATTGAAAAAACCTGGCTGCTAAAGTGGGAACACATCGTACAGACGTACACTTTTCGGTATGTAATGCTAGAGTCAGGAGGTGGGCACAAGCAGTGCCTCTTAAGTGAAAGAATGTTGGGTTGAACACAGAAGTATTTTTTGTAAATTGGTGCTCCTTGCTTACTGTCTCCTCTGTTGCCAGGTGGAGCAGGTGGTAAAGGAGTTTGGGGAACACCAGGTCAAGTGTATGATGTGGAAGAAGTAGATATTAAGGATCCTAATTATGATGATGACCAGGTAGGTAAATAATTTCTTTGCGGTGTTGCTTTATATTTCCTTTATTGATTTCAGTTGCTGTGATGTTTATATTAACGGTAATTTGACCTCATGAGTTGTGTGAATGTCTGCCTGGCTGTACTAAATGCTCATTTTTATGTTCAAGAATGACTAAAGACAACTGGTATAGGAGTGTTGCAGTGCAATACTCACAGATCTTACCCCACAAACCCTCTTTCTGAACCTGACTAGGTGGCATCCTTTTCCCAGGTATGTTTTTCACTGCTTATTCCCATGGAGCTGAATGTTGCAGTGCTGCTTGACACTGCGAACAAGCACCATGTTTAAAAATGCAACAGAGATGTTCTCAAGTCAGGAATTTAGTAGCGGACAGTATCCTTTATGGATTTTCTCTTTCCTGTATTCCCAGCTCTCCCAATGTCTTGTATCTGTTTGGTATAAATGCTTCAAACTAGTGCAAAGTTGACAACCTGGATATTGTGTTTACATGTATTTATTTAGAATATGTTGTGGAAGACTGTACCTTACAGCCATACTGTCAGGGTTAAAAAAAGTAAAGCTCATTGGGCAAAGGGTACTTTATAAAATTAAATCACTGAGGAAAGGAAACATCGATTGCAGACACAGATTACTAAAGTTCTTGAGATCAATACAACTGTGAGACCATAAATTCTGTATAACACAAGCAGAACCTCCAGCCAGGCTCAGTTTTTTCCTGGCAATTCAATGCTTTACATTAACAGAGAGAGCTACTTAAAATGAAGCCGATAAGTTGCATAAGGAAAGTTTAATGAAGAATGAGTATTCCATGAAACTTCTGTATGCTTAGCTTTTCTAAGGTTGTACATGGAGACTGCTGTGATAAAAGGACAGGCTTTTGGACTTCTGCTATACTTCCTGATCATGGAAAGCTTCTTTTCAATAAGCGTTAGTCAGAAAGCATCCTGGTTGAGATTTCTGTGATCTTTAGTATTGCTCCGAATGTTACTTCTGTAGTCTGTGAGGACCGAATTACAGTGGGGGGGATCTGGTTGTGCTGGAACTCTGCAGGACCAGGTTATACAGGAGGCAGTTGCTGTGTGATTCTTTTTTTCCCCTTGGGAAATGTCTTCATGCACAAGTATTCTGAAAATGCATTTTCTCTGATTTGTACTTGCTATCGCCTGTCTGATCACGCAGTCACTAAGGAGGAGGGAGAATGGAGGACTGGAGTGCCACTTGCTGGGAAAGGTGCTTGCAGTTAAATCTTGTGCCGTGGCCCAGCTAACTCTGCTGGGCTGGGACAGGAGTTTCTCTTGCTCTTCCTTCAGTACAAAGCACATAGGTACTGGATCTCTGTTCATGTGGTGTCAGCAGAGTCCTAGGAACAGAGTTAGGAATGTTTACCATCAGGTAACAGTACATTCAGCCTTTCAGTTCAATTCAAAATAGAAGCAGTATGACATTTAGGCAGCATTGTCCATGCTTTAATGGTAGAGACATAATCTGATGTTTTCTGGCAGAATACTGACTACCAACACTAAAGCATTAGGGATTTAGAAGACGATATATTTTGATGCTACTAGCACCGCATAAGATAAAAGATAAAAGGGTAAATGCTTTTGTTGTATTTTAAAATAGGAGAACTGTGTCTATGAAACAGTAGTTTTACCTCTGGATGAAAGAGCTTTTGAAAAAACATTAACGCCAATCATTCAGGAATATTTTGAACATGGAGATACTAACGAAGTTTCGGTATGTCATATGCCTTTTTACTTCCTTATTTTAGGGGGCAAACCTGTAGTATAGAAGGGAATTCAACTGCTAGCTATAAATGAGTATATAGAGATATTGGCAAGAAATGTGCAATAAGAACACCCGAGCAGTTATATTCGTTACATGAGTAGAAGCATATATGTAAATATATAAATATAAGCATGTAAGTATTTATATATTTGTGATAGATAGTAAAAATTAAGAAATCCTACTGTGTTTTGCTTTTCAAATCTTATTTAGGAGATGCTGAAGAATTTAAACCTTGGTGAAATGAAATACAGTGTGCCAGTGTTGGCTGTTTCCTTGGCATTAGAGGGGAAGGCCAGTCACAGGGAAATGACATCTAAGCTTATCTCTGACCTCTGTGGGACGGTAGTAAGCAAAACTGATGTGGAAAAATCCTTTGACAGACTGCTTAAAGAACTACCTGAATTAGTGTTGGATTCTCCCAGGGCACCACAGGTATATTTGTAAAGTTTTATGCTACTGGTCAAAAGTTCGTTCTTTTAAGTTTTGGCTAAAATCGATGAAGTAAACTGAAACCAACTCTGCATTTTGAAAAATATCTGTGGATTGTCTTGCTGTCTGTAATCCCTACTGATTTCCCAGGCTGTTTTTTTACTTTGAGATCACTCATTTAAATAAAATCTGAAAACCAAGCACATTATAATTGTCTACTTAGAACTGCTTTGAAATTCAGTGTTTAATTAAAAAATGCTTGTTTTGTTGCAGCTGGTGGGCCAGTTTATTGCTAGAGCTGTTGGAGATGGGGTTCTAAGCAGTACCTACATAGATAGCTACAAAGGCACGGTGGATTGCATCCAAGCTCGGTAACTTTCTTGTTTTTTCTATATAGCTGCAGTTTTCTATTTCAAATGCCAAAGATGATCATCAGGAATTTAGGACTTCAGGATAAATTGTGTGGTTCTCTGTAACTTCTTATAGTTTAATTTAAAACTATAAAGAAACTCATAAAGTCTGCAACAACAAAATCCAGAGTGATTTGGGTCAGAGGAGAAACACTTAAAGTGCCTGAAAAACGTATTAATACACGTGAGTTCAGTTTGTCAGGTTTGCTGTCTAGCTTATGTTTGAGCATGGGAAAAAAAAGAAAGAGTTGAAACAAGTGATTATAGAAGGTTTTGTCCTTAGAAAAAAGCTTTAATGTGATTAACGAGTAAATATAGCATCAGGGCAGCTGCCGTAAATATGTTGTGAAATACACAAGGGATTAACTGTTTTGCCTTATGAAGGTTTGAAGCTCAGGCAGTGCTTTCCCAGACTCTATAGCTGTAATGCTCTCTTCATCAAGAAGTATAATTGTTTTCCTTTGCTCTTGCTTGGCTGGTCTTTTCTGCTCGTTAAATCTTGGTGAACAGAGTTATTGTTACTGGCTAGCCCCCAGTATGAGGACTGGGATAACAGTTCCTTCTTTAGCAGGATGGTGCTTAACTGGATCTGAGATTTCTTTTTCTCACCTTACTTCCTTTTTCATCCTTTTCTCCACAAACTGGCAAGCTTCCCTCTTTTGGCAGCTACATATTTGCCTCCTGAAGTGTTGGGTTCGGCTTACATTCTCAAGATTTCATAATTCTTTAGACCCAAACAGAAAATGGTATTTCTGTAGAAAAGCTCTGCTCCAGTGTGGAAGCTACTGAAGCCTCTCTTGTTCAAGGTATACATGCCAAGCTGCATTCTTGGAGGAGCCCAGATACAATCCACCTCTGTATAAGAAATTATAAATTCTTTCTTGCAAGGATGTTTCAGGTTCTGCATTGAAGATTCAGATACGCCACCATCACAGGATTGTTACCTGTCCTTAGCATGGTGTAACAAAAGTATAGGGGTGGCAGAAAGAGAATTTGGAAGCTAGCTTGCCAGCTTCTTGATCCAAATGTCCCCATGGAGTTGCTAACCCTGACTTCCTCCCAGGGATTCAGTTGCTTTGCTCAAAGAGGAGTAGCAGTGGGGGATGTTACCAGGTGACTTTTAATGAAGTATTCTAATAACTTTTTAAAACACCAACTTTGCTTTCTAGAGCTGCACTGGACCGAGCTACTGTGCTGCTGAGCGTGACAAAGGGTGGGAAGCGAATTGACAATGTGTGGGGGTCAGGAGGTGGCCAGCAGTCTGTGAAACACCTTGTTAAAGAGGTATCTGATTTCTACAAACCTCTTCTCTCTAGAGTGTACTGTTTGCCTAAGCTTACCTTGTTTGGGATGGAGCAAAGAGGTAAATATATCCTCTAGCAAAATGATATCTTGAGTGTGGATTTCTTCCCTTTTACAATTTATTTACAAAAAGTAGTTTTTAAAAACTTACGTAGATAATTTTGTTGACTTTGTAGTATCTGTCAGTGGTGGGAACATGGTAGGACAATATTCTGGTTTTGGGGTTTTTTTTTGCTTTAAGCAAACCTTTTAAGCATTTTATTTTTAAGAGCTTACAATATAAAACAGTGAAGTAATTAGAAGAGCCAAGATGAAACTGGCTAAACTAGATAAACTATTATTTTTTTTGGCATTACTGATTAAAAGCACAGTAATAAAGAGAGGAAGAAACAGGAACATTTAGTGGTTATGTTACAATTTCTCAGTTGTGAGTATGTAACAGATGGTGGGAGAAGCAGCCTAGGGGAGAAGATCAACTTAATCATGATCATATTAATTTTTTATGGTGATACACATATTAGAAAGCAAGGGGTTTGGTGCTTGTGTGTCTGTATCAGTACTATGGCTAGGTATTTGGCTTATACTGTTTCAGGTTGCTTGACAGTGTCTCTGATTATACATAAAAATATTAGCAGCAAGTAGTGGGAACTAACTTGCTGCTGGATGGTTGCAGATTATCAAAACAGTTGTCAGTTTTTTTAATTTTATATCCTGTGTTGGGCTTTTTGTTTCTTTTAAAATTCAATAGATTGATATGTTGCTGAAAGAGTATTTGCTTTCCGGAGATGTACTGGAAGCTGAACGTTGCCTTCAGGAACTGGAAGTACCCCATTTTCACCATGAACTTGTATATGAAGTAAGGAGAAATCAGAGTGCCTTTAATAATTGTCAGTGATACCAACAGGTTTGGTTTGGTTTTGATGTGGGCATGCAAATACTATAACTGGAATCTGAAGCTCAGGTTGCAAGTTCTGATGTTATTCAAATAAGCAAATAGTTTCATGTAAAGTTAATGGTTTCTGTGCACATTTGTGCAACGAGAAAGCTGCTGCTAAGACTGGGAAGATCCAGAACTGATTTTTCTTTGTCAGGTAAATAGCTGAATTCAGATTATTATATAGATTCATAAAGAAGATAGTGTATTTTATGCTTGCAGCAAAGCCATACTTTGTATTGGTGTTTATTTCCTTTTAGTTTCATGTATCTGGATATTCTAAAAGGCGTTACCCGTTTTTGTTAAATTATAGAGCTTCCTTTTGGGGTGGGATTGTTCCATCTAGCACATTTGTAAAAGCTCGGAGATATTTCAGAACTAGACTATACAAGAGAATGATCATCTTTTCTGTATTTGGGAGGATGTTCCCAATTGTACTCTTTTATCTGCCAAATTGGGAAGTGGTTGTTTACCAAGAAAGTTGAACACCCACAATTTACAAATTTTTCAGTAAACTGACTTCTTTTCTAAAGTTCCTTCATGATAGAAAACCAGATGATGAGGGTTGTGGACTGTTGAAGATGATAGACTTGAAGTTCTTCTAAAATCACAGATACAAAAAAATCATAGCTACAAAATTAATTTTACAAATTAATTGCCATCTGAACTGCAGCAACCGTATGGACATAGTCATGTATCTCTCAAACCAGAGCCAGAAAGGCAATAGTTTTCACTCTGTGTAGTACTTTCTAGTTTTTTATACCTTTTATCTTCATCCAGTAACTTTTCATCAGTTTTTCTTTTCAAATAATAATATACTGAATTTGTGAGTGCAGGTAACAAGTGGACTTGTCTCCCCAGAAAAAGCATAATAATGAATTTGCCCCTTTTCACACCTCACCTGCTTACACATGTACTCGAGCCACTGATTTCTTTGTTAAAACATTTGCATGGTTTGTTTTAGGCTGTTGTAATGGTTTTGGAGTCAACTGGAGAAAAGACCTTTAAAATGATACTGGATTTGTTGAAGTCTCTCTGGAGGTCTTCTGTCATTACTATGGACCAAATGAAAAGAGTAAGTGTGGCATTCAGTGAATTTTGGGTAAGGTCTTCCAAAATTGGTATAGTTTTTACTGACTTCTAAGTGCTATTTGTAGTCTTTTGATGACTTAATTTTTTGAAATTCTCCACAACCGTTCTATATCGCTTACAAATAATCTGTCACTGATAGATGTACAACACTTGTCATATACTGAGAGAAATACAGATTAATTCCGAGCAGTAGTGCGCTATAGCACTGCAAGGTACACAATATTTAAATCATCAAATATTTTCAACTGCTTTTATGCAATTGAATGGTTAAAACTAATAATCTAAAGTGCCACAATACAGCTTCGTTTTTCTTAAATATAATTTTTCTTTTTATCCAGTAATTCTTCCCAATTGTAGTAGTACAGTAAGGACCCACCTTCATTACAAATGTCGGAACAGTTAACATTTTACAGTTGGAATTATCTATGGCTTTGCTTCTAGGTGTGGATACAGGACAGCTGTTCTGTCCCAGGGCAAACTAGGTACCACACAGAAACTTCGGTCAAAATTGCTGCAGCCATACTGCTGGTGGCAAATGCTGAAGCCATCTCTAGTTGCCACCAGTGTTTCCCCTGCTGCATAAACTGGTGTGGTGGTGATTTTACAGTCACATTTTGTTCCATTATGTGAAAGAAAAGTTAACTTTTCTTCCTTGTGTTACTGCCCAAGTGATAGCCGCCAGGCTAACTTACTCATTCTGTACTATTGACTTCTTCAGAAGTTAAAAATGTAGATGGTGTTTTTATGTGGATGGGTAGCTGTGTCATACCATGCTATTGGGTGGCATTTTACCTTGTTTTCCCACTGACTTTCAGCTGCTCTGCTTTAGGTTTGTTGAAACCATCCATGGCAAATTGAAAAATAAATTCAAAATATATTGAAAAAAACCAGTCCAAACTATACTGAAAAGTAAATCCTCTCTGAGTGCAAAAGAGCTATTAAAAATTCATAATAAAATTGTAGAACAGCCAGATCATTTTTTGAATTCTTACATTGCAGGGCTATGAACGAGTTTACCGTGAAATCCCAGATATTAACCTGGATGTGCCACACTCCTATTCTGTGCTTGAGCGGTTTGTAGAGGAATGCTTTCAAGCTGGAATAATCTCCAAACCACTGAGAGACCTCTGTCCTTCAAGGTACTTGTTTTATGGTAGAGAGGTGAAGGGACTGCTTTTTGTCCCCATCGTAGGTAACAGAAAGCAGGATGTTATGATCAAAGTGTTACAGGTTTGAACTAGAAACTGTGGAGGATGGCGAAACAGAGGCTTGGACTGGTAAAACGTTTTTAGAAGCTGCACTGATGTGAAACCTGTCATGTGGGGATGGTGGTAAATCCCTGAGGAAGGTGAGCCCCCGGTGAGTCCCAGGCAGCAGGCCTGTGTGCTCTGCAGAGGATGAAGGCCTGCCTCTTCTCTATTTTCCTGATTTTCTTAGTAGACATCAGTGCAGTACTGAGATGGAAGGTTCAGGTGTCACAGTGATCCCTGTAGGTGACAGTGCAAAACTGTCAGCTACAGTGGAAAAAGAAAAAGAAAAAAAAATTGGCTAAAAAAAATGTTTAAGTGTCAGGAACAGCATGAATTAAGAGTTCTAAGACAATACAATCAGTTCTAACGCTTACGTCAAAAGGAATAGGACAGTTATGTGGAATAAGCCTGATCCCTTTGTATCTCTTGTGGCTTATTACAGTGCTTTTGGTTTGTTGCTGTTTACTTATTCATAGCATAAATAATGCTTTTTGAACTGCAGCTAGCCAGTATTCAGTTCTCTCCTTACTGGTCACAATACAATTAGTAAGTTTCATTTCCTGTTGTGAATATATGTGAATTTTTAAATAGGATGTTACAATTTTTATTTGCAATTTTATGCATGGGACTACTATTTATGAGACAGATCTTTTCCAGGTTGGATTCTTGGGCTCCTTAAACCACCTTGACAGCTTGTGATAAATTCAGATTTTGAAATGTGTCTTTATTAAAAACAGCCTCTACTTGTGGAGTTTAGATTTGAGTTTGTCTGTATCTTTGTATCAAATATTTTGCAAGTTTGGGGTGTGGGAGGGTTGAAAGTCATCACTGCATCAAAAGCTTGATTATGCTTCGGTTACCATTAATATGTTGAGAGGGCATTTTTGGCTTATGTATGTCAATTTGGGGTAGAAAACAGCCATTCCTAGGCTTTCAAACTAGCATCTTTCACAAGTGTGAACACTAAAAGGTGAGCAAGCTCTTGACAATGCAAATTTTGAAAAGTTTCTTGCAAGTAAACCTAGATGCACGGTTCAGATGGATTTTAAGCAGTTTATCAGTGATTAAGAATGTCTGTTAATCTTGCTGAACTTTCACACCTTATCTTTCTCGAACCTTGTATTTGACTCCCAAGACCAAAAGAAGATTCTTCCTAGTGATCAGTAAGGAGAAAAAAAGAAAAGCAATGCCACTTTGAATTACTGAAAAGATACTTTCTACTTTCTTACAGGGGCAGAAAGCGTTTTGTGAGTGAAGGAGATGGAGGTCGTCTTAAGCTAGAAAGCTACTGAATGTGAACACCAACTCCTCAAGCCTTAAATGTTCAAAGGGAAAATGGATAGATATATATATACAAACACACATGCTTTTTGCTGTGTGTAGGTATATACGTATACACATATATAATATACCAAAATTTTAAGAGTTGCTTAGCACAGTTCATATTTTTTTAAAAGCATGTTTTGGGTACAATTTTTTTTTAAATAGTTTTATAAATTTCAGAAAGGAAACATCTTTCTTCGGGCATATAGCAGAATAACTGGCCACTCTGCTGTGGTGGTGCCTTCAAATAAGCTACCTTTTTAAGTGCCATGTTTATGACCTAAGCATTCCATGTCTGCATCCATATCTGACTGCTGCTCTTTCTTTCAAGGACAGTGTTGTCATCGTAAGATCACTGGCTTATACAGAGCTTTATAGAAGGGTCGCTAAGCTGCTGTGATCCCATTTCCATTGCTGCTGAAGAAATACTGTGCTTGGGGAGGAAAAATAGCTGTCTCTTTACGAGCCCAAGAAAATGGGAGTTGGGTCATAAGATTAATTCATCTGTTCCAGGGGAGAACACTGGTTGGTTTTAGCCCCTGTGTACCAAACTCATCTTTTTGTTTTGTTTTGTTTTTCTATGTAACTGGAAAAGTGAAAAGTTCAGATATATTAAAAATATTTTTTGTGAAGCTCTCTCTTCTGCCTCTTTCTTTCAAAAAACCAGACTCAACAGCTTTAACTGCGTTCTAATCTCTCGAGTGGGTGCATGAAGCTGTACATCTAACACCGCCCTTTTGTATTACAATCTGTAGAAAAAAAAACACTGAGTAATTGAAACTCAGAGCAAGTATTTACCCAACGTGTTTTGCAAACAAGTGCCGGGCGCAGGAGCGCCCAGGCTGGCGCTGGCCCTGCGCGCGACTCCGGCGGCAGCACCGGGGCTCCCCCTCCTCCTCGCTTGTGT